GCCAGTGTTGGTAATCCAAGCAGCCAACACTGTGCTAGTGCCTGAGAAGTAGAAAGTGACTAGAAAATAAGTGAAATTGACAAGTCTAATTTTCATTGCCCAGTCAAATGAAATTCAAAAAGGAAACAAGTTGTATAAAAGCAAATTGGCTCTTAACAGTTCTCTGAGTTGTAATACTTTGATATCCGATCTGGTGTAAGTGGACATAGCTCCATTGACTTCAGTGCTACACCCATTAGTTACACTAACCTATACCAGGTGAGGATCTGACCCTCAGTCTTTATTAATAATAGGACCAAGATTCCTTTTTAATTTTGTGGTATATTGTGCTGTGGATTTTTAAGTAAAATTCCCCATGTATTGCAATCTGCTTAAAATGCATGGCATATGTGGCCCATCCTTTTTAACCTGAGATTGTCCTTTTAGCTCTCTTATTCATGTTAATGCCACTACCATAGAACATCGACACAGGATAATACCCTCCCACTCTGTGGCATGCTGTAAATGCTGAGGCTTTTATGGAAAATAAATGTCAAGGGAAAATGAGGTGATCTTATTTGTCAAAAGATATGATGCTCCTGACAGTTCTTTTACAATGACTTTATTTCTGTTATAGCAAATGACTGATGATGAGTCAGTCATCTGGGGCTAAGTTCTCCAGGCAGCCACGTAACACATTTTGGTGTGAAAATGGAGCTGCAAAATTTGTTTTCTTAAATGTTTCAGATTCATTACACAATAGTAGACATAGGACTTTGGATTTTTATAACATCTTGCAGCTAATGATCGCAAAGTGTTGTACACCCAAAAACCTGAAGTGCAGATTCTGACTTCCTTATGGATCAGGCCCCAAAGACAAGTACATGAGATAAGCAAGGGATGCATGCAGGAATCTCTTCACCCTCCACCAGAGTGCAGCCACCTCTAAAGCTAACCCTGTCATTTGTTTAAAAACACAAGACCGGATGACAAATCTATCCCTAAAAAAGTGCATGGGATCTTTAATGACCTGGATTTCATGCCTATATCTCAGGCCAAGACTTACAAATTACCAAAATAAATAAATAAAAGTGAAACATTTAGAAACAAAATATTTGAAAACTATTCCCTTCTTCGCTAATCTGCCAAGACCATACTTCTGGATGTCATATGTCCCCTGGACTAACTGATAGCATCAGTGATACTCAAAACAGGTCAGGAAATGCAAAAGAAAATAAATAAAAATATCACTGAGCTGCAATATTCACCCTCAGCTGCAATAGGAGAAATGCAGAACCTTGACTTTGGGTCTTGGCAGGTGAGTGAGTGAAAGGGTAACTTCACTTAAGTAAATATTGGCATTTCGATATCAAGGCAATAGGCATCTAAGGCCTGGTCTACACTACGGGATTAATTCGGATTTAGCAGCGTTAATCCGAATTAACCCTTCACCCGTCCACACTACAGAGCCAGTTAATTCGAATTAAAGGGCCCTTTAAATCGATTTCTGTACTCCACCTCGACAAACGGAGTAGAGCCTAAATCGATTTTGTTAATTCGAATTAGGGTTAGTGTGGACGCACACCACCGAATTACTGTGTTTAAGTTAATGGGGTAGTGTGGCCGCACACCACCGAATTAATGTGGTTAAAAACCGAATTAAGGTGCTTAGTGTGGCCGCGCACAATCGAATTTATACAACCTGTTTCCCAAATTCGAATTATCTAAATTCGGATTAATCCTGTAGTGTAGACATACCCTAAGAAATATCAAAGATAATAGATAGAGATAAATGAGCTGGCTGCACAGGTGACAAGACCCAGCAAATAGAAAAAATATATAGTTGGAATAAATCATCATAGCCTCCGTTGAAGTCAGGCTATGCCAATTTACCCCAGCTGAGGATCTGGGCCAGCGAGTCCTCTGAGATACTTAGATAGGTGCTGTAGCTAGCTAGGTGAGTCAGTGTGTCAAGAGAATATTATAAATGCTTTTAAACAAGCATCCCTAACCTTATGAGGTAATGAAATTATGAGCTAATGAAATTTCATTGTTGGGCAATAACTGTCCCAATGCGTCTTCAAGGTCACTTTACGCCTTGACAGCAAAATTAACTCAGGACGGCAATGTCTCTGTTACTCAGAGCTTACATTCACACGCTGTTATCCCAAAGCTTCCTTACATTATTAACTCCATTCACATGTGGCAAGAACGTCATCTCTGGGATAATCAAATATTCCCTGTTCAGCCCATGGTGAGAGGAAACATTGTTCTGGTGGCTGATGCTTGCAATAAGTGTAAATACTGAGCTGAATACACCCTTACGTGACACAGTTTGGAGAAAAAACCCTTGTGCCTATGTGGGTCAATGTCACACAAATGTTCCAAGAAAGTTATATAAGTCCCAAGGCAAGAGCTGTTTATGGTATATTAATCTGCAGCCTTTCATCAATATTTTAAAAGGTTTCTCTTCTGCTATCAGCAATATTTTTTTTAAGCTCCATGCTTATTGCAGAGCTGAGTGGAAGCAGCTGCACCAATGCTCCGACAGCTCTGATGCGGTGCTTGCATCCAGTTACATGTGTCTCTGAGAGACTTGAGAGTTACCCACACACCCTGGTAGATGGGATCTCGTTGCTAATTTATAGTCCAACAAATACTTCCCATTTCAACAAGCAGGTTTTCATACTAATTTTCTGATAGCAGCAGGAGAAGCTCAAGAGATTATGCTGTCAGCTGAGTGCGTGTGTAGTTTTACAGGCAACTCCTATTAACTTTAAGCTGACCTGGGAACTCCCAGCGACTGGCACGGAAAGTGGAGTTCTCGAGATCAAATGCTGATTCTACTTTTCTGGAGAAATCTGAAACTTCCATTCAAAGAGTGTTTTCGGAATAGTCCTTTCAGGACTTTGCTTTTTGCTGCCTCTCTGCTTTTCTCAACTTGTTCACCCTTTTGACCAGAGCTTTGCGGCCATTTCAGGTCACATAAGTTTGCATCCTCTCAAATTTGCTTTTCTTTTTGTGTTTGCATGGGCCTATTGTGCTTTTCACAAGAGCAGGGATGATAAAACTAGTCTCCTGGCTCTATTCCAGCTGAATTACGTTCTTCTTTCCTGAACTCCCCTGCTGTTACAACTGGGTATGTTCTTCACCTCCTGACTGTTGTGTGGTGTTGCTTTGAGCTGTTAGTTGCTATGCTCCATTATTGAGGTAGCTTCATTTCAGTGGTAGATGAAGCAATTCCTGAATGCACTAGGTGAAGTACTTTGTAGTTTTCTGGGACTCCTCCACCTCTTCCCTTCCATGAGGTTTAGCAAGTGAGCCCTTACCATATGCTCACTTATTTTCTTTCCTTGACACAAAATGACTGTCCTATTATCGCCACCTCTCTGGGCAGAGTTAAGAGGAAGAGGACCTTTGGAATTTTCCACGTCCTTTACTCTTTTTGGGACTCCTAATCCTTTATCCTGCCTGTTCCATCTCACACTGAGCCACTCAGAAACTCCATTCTCTTTCACATCCAGGTGGATCTGGATCTTTGAGAGAGAGGCCTGGAATTAAGTCACCAGTGTCTGCAGGTGAAGTTTAACTCTTGTCATCTCACCAGTAGGGAATAGATTCCTCCCCCCCCCCCCCAGAAGAGTAAAAATTGATGAAGGCAAAATTGGCCCCCTGATGGTGTCACATGTTATGACTGATTTGTCTCAGGTTCATTCAACTCACAGGGCTTCTCTATGGTCTCTGCAAGGTGTTCTTTGGTGTATAGTACGTTGGCCACTAGAACTGGGGCAGAAGTAGTTCCTGAGCTCACTTAAGCAGCAGTTTGGTGGATGATGGAGAAAGCCCTGCAGAACCTGTGAGAGTGGGACTGTAGAGACCAGAGAGATGGCTATTATATGAGAGATGGATAGATCAGTGGCTGCCTTTTTAATGATTGTAAAATTTTTGCATTTTGATTGATACTTTCTAGCCTGAGGTTTGTTAATACTGGGGTCAGGTTGGCTTTGGGAAACAAAGATCTTTTAAAAATTGGATTAGGTAACTGGAGTTAGCAAATATGACTTGAAGCACCTAGGGTAGACACAGTTTAACACCTTTAAAATTGTGTTAACACATTGTGTTGTTAACCCAGAGGTCCCGATTTCCTGACCCAGCAAGAACACCTAGATGGTGCTTAGCAGTGGTAGATAGATGGTGCCTAGGCCATCAATAAGCTAAGGCCTTTGAGTATGTTGGTACTCCAGTGCTCTTACTTTTTCCACATAATCTCTATTATTCATATGATAATTATAGTATATTTGGTTTCATTTGAACACTTAAAGATTCCTGTTAAATGAGTATGTTGCTTTATTATGCTGTCAGTTGAGTACACAGTGAAGCCAGCTTATGGCAAAGTCATGTTTGTCACACAACATCTTCACTACAACTGGAATTACACCTTGTATATCAAGATGCAGTGAAGCAATTCAGGATTTATGGTCTTTCTTCATAAACCAAATCTCTCTATCTCCACATCCCTCCATAAGCAGGTTCCACAGAATTCATTAATAACAGAATTGTATCCCATTTCTTTTTCATATTGGAGGAAAAAAGGAAGTTGAATTAAAAACAAGATCCTACTTTGGTTCCAGTGACTAACTTTCTCAATTATTTTTTTCACAACAAGGAAAATAAATCAAGTCATTTTAAACCTTAGTTTTATTTATTTAGGAGGAAAAATAAACAAACTAAAAGATATTTGTTCTTGACCTTATGTCCCCAAGATAGTCTGTAGCCTTGTCTACACTCTCTTTTAGTCTAAACATCATTTGTCCCCCACCGCCACAAATAAATGAAACAATCCTCCTATCAACTCTCAGTACTGCTCCAATCATGCTGAGTTGCCTACATTTTATCAGAGCTCTAGTAATGTACATGTAAGTCTTCTATTTTTTTCTGCCACATTTTATTTTTTCTACACATGGTGAGGTTTTAAAAGCTTGCTTGGACACTTATGGTTTGGTGTGGTTTTTTTTATCCAGAGCAATGAATGACATTGGAGATTACACAGGCTCCAACATAGAAATATCCTGGTTACCTAATCTAGATGATTTAATGAAAGGATATGCACGGAATTTCAGGCCTGGAATTGGAGGTAAGAGTCTGATTTATGTCTTTTCTGATTTCTAATGTGTTCCTTGTATAATCTAATGGCTGAAATGGATGTGAATGTCTGCCCTTTGCTGGATAAAATTAAGTGTTTGTGAATGTCTTGCTCTTAGATGTAGTGATAATAACAGTAAGAATGGTTTTTGTTTGTTTTGTTTTTTATGTCAGCCTTTGCAAAAAGTCCCAGGGCACCTCACAATCTAGCCCAATTAAAAGCTGCATCAAACCAGTTATCTTTTCAATTTTGAGTTCAAATTTGAATTGCTGTGCCAGAGTTTCTCAGTGATCACGCTCCTCCCCCCACACTATGAACAACCCTCTTGTTTTGTGGCTTTGGAATAAAAACAAAACTCAGAGCAGGTTCGTCAAGAGGTTTCCAAACCTTCCAGGTACACCTGGGCCAGTCTACAGGATTGTGTCAAAACCATGCTCACTGTGCCATTCCACCTGGTTCCAAAGCAAAAGTAAGGGAAACTTGACGGTTTCCACTGAGTTTTGCTTTGAGATTTTGCATTTGTCTGAATTGGAAGCTCAAAGCAAAACTCAATGGATGTGAATGCATTGTGGGCTAAAGGCAAAAATGTTCTCCTGAGTCCTTGCACGGTGATTCTGTCAAGTTTCACACATGTTATTAAAAATGAGAGAGGCCTAACCCACAAAGTTTGGAGCCACACCTAGTCCCAGGTCATTGCAAATTTCAGTGGCATTTGGATCTGGGGTGTTGTTCAGGTCCTTTTAAAGTTGAAGTCAAAGGGCCTAATTCCTTTCCATTCATCAATGGGAGTCTTTTCATTGACTTCAATGAGTGTTGGATCAGGCCCTAAACAGGCTCTTTTTTTCTCAGGTGAAAAAGCAAATCAGTCCATGAGTTGAGGCAAAAACATACCAAGATGTCGGGTTCCCTGGTTACAATATAAAGCATAGCAGTGCTCTGAATTTAGGGCAATCCAGTGAGTCTGCAGACATCAACCTTAAACAATGTACTAAATAAAAGGAAAATAACTCTGTGCTTTTCGGGCCCAATGTTACTGAAATGCTTTATAAGGAAGTAAAATCAGTTGCCCAGATTTTCAAAAGCAACTAGTGATTTTGGATGCACAACTTGGGATGTCTTGAAGGGGCCTGATTTTCAGGAGGTGGGGGCTCAGCAGTGTGTGAAAGTCATGGCCCTTTAAGGTGTCTCAGTTTGGGCCCCTCAAAATGGAGACCTCCCAAATCACTAGTCAATTTTGAAAATCTTGGCCAATTTGACAAGGTTGTGGCTGGCTTGCAAAGAGACTATAAGACTTTAAACTTAGTAACTTGGCAACTATTATAGACTGTCCTGTAGTTCAAGGGGCATTTTGTTTTCCCTTTTGAGCATGTGTGCAGTTCAGCTGATGCCCATGTGGCCTGCGTATGTATGTGGACCTGGATCTTTATAGAGTTGCAGCAACAATACAACATACATAGGGTGTTTAGATAGCATTGGGCAACCCCCCTTTCCAGTGTTCTTTCCAAATGATCACTCTATCCCAATCTACAGAACAATGAACCTAGCAAAGCATGCATGTGAATAGAAGCAAAACTTCCATCTTGCCAGGGCAGAAGAAATTCTATTAAGAATCTGGATACGCCGGCAAGTCAGTCAGTTTATAATCAGCTTTAATTGGCACTCTCATAAGCCTTAATGTTATTTTTCACCTGAAGCAGCTACTTTCTAAAGGGGTGAAGTTTTCTTATCTTTGAAAATGTCAAAGAAATTACTTCCACTGATCCTTAAAGCTGAAGGCTTTAAGCAATACAAGCAGTTCCTATTTCCCCCTGAGTTCTTACACCACTCCTATCACCATGGTATCTGAACTGACTTTTGGAAAGTCATTTTGTGGTCCATATCAAGTGGTGATCATTTCTGTACTTGGATACTCAAAGTAGGTGTCATGATTTCAAGGGGTTGCCACCAACTGTCAGAGATCATGACCAACCTCCCTTTCTTTATGGCTAGATGGGAGGGTTTCTATGGAAACTTGGCATCACAATAAGAGGTTGGAAACCCATTGTTCTAAGACAGATTTTATTTCGGGAAACTGTGAGCAGGGGAAAGGATATTTAGGGATTCACTTCTGTGAACTGACTCCATATGAAAAGATTGACAAAGCTAGTGCATATGTAGTCACACCATATCCTCCCCAATTTAACGTGTCTCTTTCTCAGGCCCTCCTGTTAATGTTGCCCTAGCGATTGAAGTAACTAGCATTGACCACATCTCAGAAGTTAACATGGTAAGTTGCCATTTAAACTTGTTAAGACTGGAAAGCTGGGAATGCTTATACTGTGGTGGTGGGAAGTATAGAAAACTGATTAGGCATATATGATTGTTCTACATAGAACGATCACTAGCTGAAATGAATTGGCAAGGAGAGAAAAAAATGTCCTACATTTTTCAAGTGAAAAATTGATACAGGAAAATCCTATAAAGAGCAGACTTACAGCTGCATGCTAGCCCATAGGCCAGATCCTCAGCGACTGTACATTGGCATTGCATATCTTCACTTGAGCGACACTGATTTGCACCAGTTTAATTTTTAAGAATTAAATCCAATTTCTACTCCAATTCCACTTCCTCCTGGACACTTCTGGAAAGAGGCCTACGGAGCTCAGCCTCTTTTGTACCCCTCTGCAAAGCCACTGAGTTGTGGGATGCTCCCTTAACCATCGCAGCCATGCCCATACCCCTGAACAAAACAACAGGCTAGATTCTAGAGCATGTCACAATACCATATATCTAAGAATTGCAAAGATCAACTGCATTTTTGTAGCCTATTAAACCTGAAAGATTTATTTTTAAAGCTATAGCTGTGACTTATCACTGACCCCCTCTCTCTATTGCATTCACCTGGGGCTTTTATTTTTTTAACCTGACTGAAAAAAAACCTACAAAAAACCTCTTAGGTCCTACTTAGGAAAGGTGCTCAGGAGGGATATTAACCTGATTCTTCCCATCAGTCTCAGACAGACATGCAGTTCTTGCTACACAGTATACCTGACAATGCCATTGAATCAGAGCAGTTAAACACATGCTTGGGTATCTTGGGGTTATCCATGGTAGAAACAGACAAGAGACATTAAAATGTCCAGGCAGTTTTATTCTGATTGAGTATAAAAATATTCCAGCGCACAGGAAACAGCTATTAGATGTTCCAGGCTAATACAATGAAATTTGACCAGGCCCCAAGATATCATCATTGTGTTTGTTTCACATGGTTTGTTAACTGTTGGTTCTTCTTGTGCTAGGAATACACCATGACAGTATTTTTGCATCAGAGCTGGCGAGACGACCGGCTGTCTTACAACCACACCAACGAAACTCTGGGCTTGGACAGTCGGTTTGTGGACAAGCTCTGGATACCAGATACGTTCATAGTAAATGCCAAGTCTGCCTGGTTCCATGATGTGACTGTGGAAAACAAACTTATCAGGCTACAGCCTAATGGAGTCATTTTGTATAGCATCAGGTAAAGAGAGAGAGAGAGATTTCTCTTGTGTTAGCTTTTTGAATAGCTTCTAAAAAATAATCACCCCCTTTCCCTAGATTATTTTTAATACAACCATTCATTTTAAAAAACTAAAAAAAACCCACATTAGCCTGATGCATTTTTGTTGACGACCCCTCATCTCTCTGCCGGGCCTACACTGGAAAGGCACCTGTGGAAACAGTAACAAGTTTCCCGTCATGTAATCATTAATCACAAGTACGTCATTAACAGAGCACGATCCTGCTATAATTGGGGTTGTTCTACAGCCACCAGCCCAAGAGGCAGTGTGAACAGAGCAAAGAGTTCCTGGGTTCTGTTCTTGACTCTGCCACTGATTCCCTAAGTGACCTTGGCCACGTCATCTAGAATCTCTCAGCTTTAAACTTCCCCATCTGTGCAATGGCAGTAGTAACATTTCCCACCTCTCAGGAGTATTCTGAGAAAAAGTTAATGTGTGCACAATGCTTTGGAGCTGTAGGGTCAAATTCATCATTGACATTACACCAGAATGGGTTTGGCTCACAAAAGTCTATAATAGTGCTTATTTATTTATTTAGTAGTATCTGGTCTTGAACAAGTCATTTAACCATTCAGTACCTGTTTCCTCTACCTCAGAGGGGTGCTGTGAGGACTGGTTAGGATAATAGCCTAAAGGGCTTTGAAAGTATTACTGTTTTTTGATGTGGGCATGGCAGCAAAATGAGGACAGAGACATGCATGGAAGTAAGCAGCAAGCCACAACTTTTATTAAACTTTAACACAGGGAAGAGGCACTATCTGCCCATCACCCATACTCTCCTGTACCAGGCATTTAATTTGTTCCAGTGTGGGGGTAACAGGGTTCCTTACCATATAACTCATAACGTGGGATAGGCTTTCCTCAGCCTACCCCCTAGGACTCAGCTTGCTCTGAGTCTTAGCACCCTAGATCCTGCCGTGAGCAGGACAGAAGGTGCAGCAGTGTGGGGACCTTGGCCTGTGAAGGTCACAAGGTCTAATCCTATCACATGAGCTCAAGGCCCATCACCAAAATCCCAGGTCTTTTGCCCCTGGGAACCGTTCGTTTTATTCTCTTAACCACACTGGAAACCAGCTGTAAGTTGCGACAAACAACTTCACCCCAGTACCTCAGTTAGGTGCCATGCGTGTTCCAACTCAAACCACTGTGGCTTGCAGATGCTGCAAAAAACTCCCTCCCTGGTTCTCCACCAACTGGCACATGGAAGGAATTCCTTCCTGACCCCTAAGCAGGCGATTGGCTAGACCTGCAGTATCTGTCAGGCTGGGTTCCCATTCCTAACTCAGATGGGTAGGGTGGGCTGCTGGAATGGAGCCAAAAGAGGCTCCACACGGCCCCTGCAGCGAGTTAAATCCTGGGAGCTGGCAAATGCTGGCCAATCAGCTGGCCAATGGGTGCCAGAGACTCCTAGGGGAAGGAGCTACCTATTGTCCCTTGGTGAGTGTCTCCCTCCCTTGCTGCTGGGAGGGACTGTCCCCCTTTTGCTGCCAGCCCCATCAAGTTCCCCCACCTACTGATGCGGGTGAGTGGCATTTTAATAATAGAGGTAGGTTAAGGGTTTCCAACCCAGTCTTTGGATTATGGGGAAAATTACATGCCAAGCTATGAAAGCCTACAGCCCTCTCTGAATATAACTAACTGGTACTTTGATTTTCTTTGAATGGGGCAGGATTACCTCAACTGTGGCCTGTGACATGGACCTTACCAAATATCCCATGGATGAACAAGAGTGCATGCTGGATTTGGAGAGCTGTGAGTACGAAAGTCTGAGCACAGTGGTGCCTATAACGTATGTTCTGTTGAAAGCCTGCATAGATAATCCTTGGTTCTGTGAGTCAACTTAAATCAATCAAATACAAGGACTGTTTTGGATTTAGTAAATATAAGGCCCAACACCAATTCCCTTGATTCCAAGTTTGGGCATCAGGTTATAGAGCCTTACAGCACTAGTTCAAAACTGCTGCAGTTAGGGTTGCCAGGTGTTTTGCTTTCGACCGGAATGCCCAGTTGAAAAGGGACCCTGGCGGCTCCGGTCAGCACTGCTGACCCGGCTGTTAAAAGTCGTTGGTGGCGCAGCAGGGCTAAGGCAGGCTCCCTGCCTGCCTTGTCTCTGTGTGGCTCCCAGAAGCAGCGGCATGTCTCCCCTCCGTCTCCTACGTGTAGGGGCAGCAAGGGGGTTCCGCATGCTGCCCCCGCCACACGTGCAGGCTCCCCAGCTCCCATTGGCCAGGAACCGTGGTCAATGGGAGCTGCGGGGGTGGTGTCTGCGGAAGGGGCAGTGCGCAGAACCACCTGGCCGTGCCTCCATGTAGGAGCCGGAGGGAGGACATGCTGCTGCTTCTGGGAGCTGCTTGAGGAACCACTGCACCCCTGACCCCCTCCCATGCCCCAACTCCCTGCCCCAGCTCTGATCCCCCTCCCGCCCTCCGAACCCCTCAATCCCAGCCCGGAGCACCCATCTGCACCCTCAGCCAGAGCCCTCACCCCCCCATGCCCCAAACCCTTGGTCCCAGCCTGGAGCACCCTTATGCACCCCAAATCCCTCATCCCCAGCCCCACCCCAGAGCCCGCACCCCCAGCCCTCCTCCCTTCCCCCTCCCTTATCCCAACCCAACCCACTGCCTCAGTCCGGAGCCCCCTCCTGCACCCTGAACTCCTCCTTTCTGGCTGCACCCCAGAGCCCTCACCCCCAGCTGGAGCCCGTACCCCCTCCCGCACCCCAACCCCTTGAGCCAGCCTAGTGAAAATGAGTGAGTGGGGGTAGGGAGAGCGAGCGACAGAGGGAGGGGGGATGGAGTGAACGGGGGTGGGGCCTCAGAGAAGGTGCGGGACAGGGGTGGGGCTGAGAGGGAGGGGGAGGGGCAAGGGTATTCGTTTTGTGTGAGTAGAAAGTTGGCAATCCTAGCTGCAGTCCAGAACTATAGGACTGAATCCAGGAAGCTGCTGAGCACCCTCTATTCCCATTGGACATGGAGAATTGGAAGCTTAGGGCCTGATCCAAAGCCCACTGAAATCAGTGGGAGTCTTTCCATTAACTTCAGTGGGCTTTGGATCAGGCCCTGAGAGACAAAGCAGAGCGTACAGAGAGACTGGGCCCCAGGGCAAACTTCTGAGTGTTTTTTTTTCTCTACGAAAAATCAAGAGGGGCAGAATTCCATGTGTGTGGGGACTGTTATTGTGACTAGCCCCCGTAAGGGGCTCTGTCTTTCCTTGGCAACACCTCACCCCTACACAGGAGTCAGTCAGAATCTGGGCTATAGACTGGTGACATTCTATTTAGTGCTTACGTGGGAAACCTGTATAAATTGTGTCTATATTCTACTCAGGCGCCATTCTCCTCTTAATTAGTGTGTAATTCCCATTAGCATTAATGCTTTGGGGACAAATTCACTACTGACGTAAGCAGGCACTACTCATTGACAGCAGCGAATTTGGCCTTTTGTGGCTACTTCAATGGGAGAGTAGAGTCCTGATGTTTCCAGAGATTTAGGACTAGCAGAGTACCTGAGCAGGGGCAAACACAGTGCCACATTAGGGTGAGCGTCAGTCGCTCTCTTTCTTTTATAGCATTGACTCTGTTTTCTAGGCAATTAACCACAATACATTTTCATCCTGTCAAAAATAGCAGTCTGCAGTTTTACTTATGTAATAAGCAAATGCAGAGGCAGCAGACAATGAACTAGCAATCAATTCACTCTCCCGGCAAGTTTTGCAGGGATTTTTTTTTATTTATTTAATTTGAGGATTTTTATTTCAGTGCAATAAACATAAGTAGAAATAAAGCCTCTTTAAACAAACATATTAAAGCAAAACCAGGGGAAACTTTCCCCCTGTTGTTTCCACATGCCGGGTTTCTGCTAGGCAACTCCTAACCCAAACCAAGGTGACTGTGTATTCCCACCTTCCTGCAGCATTGAATGTGATCCATTCTTAGTGCTGTTACAAGATACCTTGCTCTATTTCTATCTAGACAGCCATTTCTCACTAGTAAGGGGATGCTGACAGGTTACGCATTAGGGAACAGATTCTCTGCTGTGTCTAACTTCTGCAGGGCACAGCATGGGGGTGATGAGATGCCAGGTGGCTGAGTATAACTCTCTGATTCCCTGCCTCACCTTCGCCCCAAAGGTACAACTTAGAGTAGCCTCCGTGGATCACCTCATGGCCCATCTTGCCTGTCTTTACCTCTGATATGTCCTCTGCACCAGGGCCTTCAGAAAGGGTGATGCAGGGGCTAGCTTCATTGGCTCTATGCCTGCCCATGACATTGGGATAATCCCCAGTGTTGGGGTTGTGACCAGTCTTTGCTCCATCCGCTTTGCTTGACTGGAACAAAAGTATTGGAAGCAGCACAGAATCTACCCTTATAGATGTAAAAAAAACATTGTTTTTACCTGTGTTATGAATGAACACCTTAGATGATTCAACCTGAAGGAATCATTAACAGTCTAATTTACTTTTCACTAATCCTGCTGCTTGGTTGCTGTTTTGCAGTTCTGTCAGTTTGGATAATGAAAATGTGCTACTCCATTCAGCTTTAATTTGTGGTCAGATTCTCATGCCTTAGCATAATGTTGCTGTGTTTGGATTGCAAACACTGCAAAGGAAATATTCTTCTATTAGTTTGTTTTCCAACTGTTTCCATTGGAATGTAAACAAAAAACACCATGGCCATTTTCTGTTGCTCTTAGTTTTTTTTAAAAGCTTATTTTTAAGTTGTGTTCTCCACTTCAAAGCTCTTCCAAAATTCTGAACAGTGTGAGCTAGCCTGGATTCTCCGCTTTGAGGGAACACTATTCCAGCTGGGTCACTGGCAACCTCACTGTTGATAGGACATTGATTATCCAGATTGAAACACAACATGTTTGCTGTGGGACTGATGATGAGCAGCATGGCAGAGTCATCTGAGTTTCACTTTGAGCCCATCAATCTTTATTTTTCCCCAAACCTTTGCATTTATTCAGCTTCTTTTGGCAGATGGCTACGCTTCAGAGGATATCGTGTACCACTGGTCAGAAAACCAGGAGGAGATCCATGGGCTGGATAAACTGCAGCTTGCTCAGTTCACAATCACTAATTACCGCTTCACAAGAGAAATGATGAACTTCAAATCTGGTAACAGATTCTGTCTCTTCATTGCTTCATGCTGTCAGCCTCCACTATCTGTAATAGACAATCCCCTCTCTTAAGTAACCAGTTTAATGTGTCCATCTGATTTCCAGTACAATTTTATTTAGCTCGTACCTAAAGAGACATACATTTTTTGTTGGTCCCTTGGGTAGTCATTGCAGTATATTGTGACAAATCCATAGCCATCCTGGGCTTTGTGTTTGCCATAAGGCTGCACATGGCTTCCAGTCAGCACTTCACAGCAACAGCAGAGCTAGAACTCAGATCCTCCTGCTCTAATTTGCAATTCAGGCTATAGGAGAATCTCCATTATTCCTAATAATATTGTGCTTATGATATCAAATTGAGTAGTTCTGATTCCATCCACTAGAGGGTAGTGGTACACATACATACTAGCCTGCCTATTGCAATGTTTGTAAAAGCTTGAAGTCATTTCTTCCCTACCGATTTTTGTCCTCTTACATGTAGTTAAATGCTCATTTATGCTGCCCCCTTATCCATCAAGCTCTTTCCCTGTTAGTTTTAAATTAACATGATATTTTAAAAAAATCTAAATTTAGTGTCTGTAGGACTTTCCGCCGCAGATTATAAAAACCTTAAGGAAGATCACATTTTGAAACAGTGTCGTTAGAGCAAGGGATTAGGAATCTGGACTCCTGAAATCTATTTTTGCTCTGCTACTGACTCACTATACAACCCAGGGCAAGTCACTTGACCTAGTCTTAGGACTAACAATGCTGACACTAACTATGGTGCCTCACAGGGGTTTTATGAGGCTTAATTAATGTAAACCCCTTTGTGACCCTTGAATGAAAGATGATGTAAAAGTGCAAATCAGCGTCATTACTCTTGTATATTATTTTATTAACTGTGTAATTGTAAAGCCAACCTTCTAACACACAACTTTATATTTGTCCTTTGCCCACTCTTCCCACCAGCGGGTCAGTTTCCCAGGCTCAGTCTCCACTTCCACCTGCGGCGGAATCGAGGTGTTTACATCATTCAGTCTTACGTGCCTTCCATCTTACTGGTGGCCATGTCATGGGTTTCCTTCTGGATCAGCCAATCAGCTGTGCCTGCTAGGGTGTCACTAGGTAAAAAGATTGTGGTGTTGGGATCTTGAAAGGGAGGACATGTGAAGGCCATATGTTCATCTCCAGTGTGCCATTATTGGAACAAAGCACATTTATGAATGCTGTGTCTGCACTGGCAAACCAATAAGTGCTTAAGCGGGTTTTCTTCATGCTTCAGTGTCTGTCACTGGCGGATGCTTCTGTCAGGGCAGAATGAGCTAATAAAGGATGGAAAATAAAAGTTTAATGCTGTTATATTGTATCCCTAAAAACAATAGACACTACTAATAAAGAGACAGTGCTGCAGCTCTTACTCCCACTGAAGTCCTGAGTAAGAGGAGCAGGTGCTAAGAATAGAAAAGACTCCCCAGGGGTTGTTCTAATGGATCTGTCTATCTGTGTCTGGTAACAGAAGCCACATTGAGATTTTCAGAGCTGCCTTGGGCATTGGGTGCCCAGTTCAGAAGTGGGTGCCCACATCCCCTAGCTAGCTTGGAAAATCTCAGCCAGCTCCTCTCTAGGTAGAAGTGATTGTTTATTACCATTGGGATGTGTTACAGAACTCTAAGCCAAGCTTCTCATGCTATTCCCTAGGTATAACTACAGTTCTTACTATGACCACTTTGATGGTCAGTGCCCGATCCTCACTCCCACGAGCCTCTGCCATCAAGGCACTAGATGTTTACTTCTGGATTTGCTACGTGTTTGTCTTTGCTGCTCTGGTGGAATATGCATTTGCACATTTCAATGCGGACTACATGAAAAAGCAAAAAGACAAGATGAAGGCGAGCAGACAGAGTGGAGAGGTCAGTAAGCTGTGTGCTGGTGGCGCCGGGGAAGGCTTTGAAAAACAACCACCCTGGATTATAACCTTGTCTTCAGCCAGAGTAAATACTCCCCTCTGCTGCCCTTTGGTAAAGTCATTCCCTGAGTTGTTAACCCCACCATGTGAGTGTTTAGCCCCTGAATGCCACCATGCTGATTGCTGCCTGTTGGCAGTACAAGTCAAAACCAGCTCAGAACAATTAACAGGATATAGAGCCGATATCATCCCCATGCCACAAGCGGTTGGGACTGATTCTCATTCTGTTCCTGTGTTTGGGACAGGGTGGGGGAGTGGGAGGGAAGGGACACAAAGGGGCTTTTAAGCTACATTTGTGTTCCTTGTATTCTGGAGATGTACAGGACCTTTGGAGACATGTCCAGCCCTTGGTGTAGATTAGAGCAACCCCAATGTGCTCTGTTCAAATAGTCCCCAATATGCCCCCCACCACCAGCCAGGAGCAGCGCCAATGTAGAGCCCTTATGCCAGTTCTACACCAGCCGGGGAGGCCCCACGCCCCAAGGATATTCTCTGGTAGTTGTTTACTTATGGGCCCTTTGCCTGGCAAGAGGACCATAAAAGGGCTTCAGCAACCCTGAGAACCAGGCCCATTGTCTTCAGTGTTGTCCCATGGAGATTAAATTCTCCATTGTGTGCAATGGATTCCAGATAGATCCTATTTTGCTCAGCATGAATACAACTTGTGTTCCAAAGTAGACCTATGCAACAGGTTGCAAGAACAAAGCAATTGCTCATGTGAAATTCCTTCCTGAACCTCTTAATTCTAGATAGCTCAGTTGTTCCCTTCATGCCCTTTAAGTGGCTGATGAAGCAGAATGAATTGATTAGGGAAAAATGCTTTTGACAATCCACAGTTTGCAAATTTCCCCCCACAAATCTGCAGGCATGTGAATCCCTGGACTTGATTATGATTATGATTATTTATTATTATTTTATTGTTTATTAATTAATCTTGCTAAGCTGCTAGCAGATACAATTGATCTGCGCTCTTTACTGAAACCTACCCAGGAGCATCCACAGCCTTACAGGACCCACCCTGTGTTTCAGGCCAATCAATTATCCTTTCAGCTGGGTACCAGTCTCTTTGGAGTGGATCAATACCACTTGTGAACCAGCCTAGTGCTGAGCATGCTGTCTCTGCAGTGCCTCAAGCCCCTGCAATAGTCCAGGGAATGTAAAATTATAACCAGAATTGACTCCTGAGTCTCCTGCATGGCAGAACAGAGCCATTCACAGCTCCCTCAGCCACTGCTAGCACTGGAACCAAGTACTGTCCATCACATTTGGCTCTCCTGCATGTCAGACCATTAGGCCACCTGGCTAGCTCTGATTAAGTATTCTGACTCTCTTCCCATGCAGATTGTCATAAGAGGTTCTTCTCTTTCATTTGCAGATCAATGTGAAGAACGCCATTGTTTTGTTTTCCCTTTCCGTTGCGGGTGTGAACCAGGAACTGGCCATTTCCAACCGGCAGCACCGAGCTCCCAAAACCCTACCCGGATCATATGGCTCTGTAGAAGTCGAAACTGGAGAGACAAAGAAGCAGCAAGAAACTAAACTGGAGAAAAAGAGTGGCTTAAAGTCCCTCTTCAAGCCCATTGATGCTGACACTATCGATATTTACGCCAGGGCAGTGTTCCCAGCAGCCTTTGCAGCAGTCAATGTTATCTACTGGGTTGCTTACACAATGTAAGAACAAAAATGTGCTCCCAAGAGGTAAACTGTGGGCCAGAATTATGCTCAGACAGTACAGAGTAACTGAAGAAACTGTATTGGTCCATTTCTTGTCAAAGTGCTTTCCAATACGCTGAAGATATTTCTCAAATGCAGCAGAGTATCATTTTTGTTTGGCTCCTACAATCAACTCCAGCTAAAACTGGGAGGGGGGAAAATTGGCCATTACCAATTTGGTTTGATATATTTGTTATTACTAAATTCTGCCAAACAATCCAAGGATCCTTTGTTCCCCATCTCATCTTGAAACAATTTGTCACATGTACATATCTTCAGTGAAGGTGCCACCACCAAATCCTAAAGCACAGTTGGTTATTTTCCCTTTTCAAAGGTCAGCAGATAACGAGGCTCTGATTTTTCCCATACTCTTACCATGTCCTTTCTTACAGGACAGCTAATCTCATGTTTTTACATGGGAGTGACTTTTCTGTGTCATGCCAGTTGTGGGACAGTTCAAGTTTAACGGGGGTAGGAAAATGGCAGTGATCTCTACATGTGAAGACCACGGGATTGAAGTATCGGGAGCAGAGCAAGGCAGAGGGTTTTTCTTTAATTATTATTTGTCTTGGATAAAGTATTTAGAACACTTTTGATTCTCTTCTTTAGTCACAGCATGAAATAAAATATATTGTATAGAACCTAACTGAATTATTAATATCCACTGTGTTGTATTTCAGATCTAAGCTAAGGAAAGTCTTTCTTTAACTGCGTAGACTTGATCATTACCTGTTAGGTTCACTCCCTCTGGGGCACCTGGCATTGGCCAGTGTCGGTAGACAGGATACTGGGCTAGATGGACCTTTGGTCTGTCCCAGTATGGCCGTTCTTATGACTTCCTGTATATTGCTATTTGCCAATGTAATTCCACCATAAATGGACAAAGTGATTTAAAAACACAGGCTGAGCCTAGGGTCCTTGTCCAAAAGGACTTAGGGTAAATTTTTCAAAAACACTGAAGTGATTAGGAGCCTCGATCCCATTTTCCAAAAAGACTTAGGCACTGGGGAGCCTAAGTCTCATTGGCTTTCAGTGAGAGTCAGGTACCTAGCAACCATTTGTGCTTTTGAAAATTTCCCTGTTAGGCTTCTAAGTGCCAAAGGTACTTATGAAAAGTCATAATTTTCTCCTAAGTCGCTTAGATGCTTTTGAACATTCTGTACTGACAGTCGAAGGGGCCTGATCCTGGGAGATGCTGAGTACCCACAACTCCTGGTTGCTTCATTGGGATTGACAGTAATGGAATCTGTGGGTACTCACCAGCTCTCCCTTACTCTGAGCCAGAGTCTGTTACCTTTACTTACACTGAGGAGAACTGTTGTTCATATGTGGTTCCATTGATTTCAGTGGGGTAAGGTGGCATTCACCATAAGTACAGATATCAGAATCTGCCTTCAGATGAGCAGAATGAACAGGATAAGAGAACAGGCAGAGGAGCTATTGTTAGCATAGGAGACCAGCGTCGGAGGCTTTGCAAGTGGAATGGGTTTAGAGGTGGGAGGGACCACTCTTGGTGCCTGGAAAGTGGGAGGTAGTTCCGAGCACAAAGAGCGACACAAAAGAAAATGTGAAGCCAGAGTAGGAGGGGGAGACAAAAGAAGCAGCAGGGAGCGAGGATGGGGTGGGGGGGGGTGGGGTGCAAGATTAAACAAGAGCACAGATGTACTTGGCAAGGGCAGAGCTGTGCTGGGCCTGGAAGACGAGGAGCTTGAAGTTGGCAGTGATTAATACTTGTAATCGCAGTAAGAATGGTGGACGCGTTTGACCAAAGTGCAAAACTCTCATTCCCCTTGACTGACTTCCCTCTGACATGTGGTTTGATTCCACATGACCAGGGCTGAAAGATGGAGTGTCCACTTCTTATTTTTAATCGAGTCAGATTTATAACTTAGAATAAAAATCGTCCAATATCACTAAGGAAGAAAAATAAATGATCCTGAACTGAGCTATAATAGAAAATATATTCCCTTCATAAATCAAGCTTATGTTCACTTAAATCTCCAGTTTGTCTCAGAATGGGAAAACTTTCTGCCAGCTATGTGATGGAAGATGCAAACTGACATCAAACCACGGGTGTTCCACAAATCTAACTATCCATCCAGGAAATTTGGCCTGGTGGACAGAGCACTGGACACCTGAGTTCTATTCCGAATTCTGCCACTGACCTGCTAGGTGACCTTGAGCAAGCCACTTTACATCCCTGTGCCTCGGTTTCCCCATCTGTAAGAAATGGGGATAATAATACTGACCTTCGTTGTAAAGTGCTTTGAGATTTATGGGTGAAACGCACTACAGAAAAGGTAGGAATTATCTATCTATCTTCCTACCTGGTGCTTATCACTGTAGTGTCTGAGGACATCCGACATTGAATTAAAGCAAGAAAGAGCTCAACAAAGAGACTGGATATCAGCAACCTCCTGGGTGAGGTTGAAGATGAAATTTTGCGGGTTTTTTAACGTGTGCGGTTGGGACGGGGCTTCTCTCTTCATTTTCTTGGAGGTGGTTGCTGTTGTGGGAAGACCAGGTTTGCACTGAGTTCTGTCTGAAGGCACTGAAGTCTGTGGTCACTATTAGCTCCTCCGTAGTCTGAGTTCCAGTTGCTAAGGGGGCTCCACTTCACCCCACTTTGCTCTCACATGCGTGACCTTTGCCGCTGACTGGCTCAGCATTACTGTGATACGTAACTGTGAAGAGCAGAGCGGAATGAAACCAGAGCTGAAGCGTGGTATTAAAATGCTTTTCCTTTAGTAAACAGCTGCTTCTCTACTGATCTTAGGCCAACTCCTTGGCCTCCTCCTACATCCCTTTTTGCGCTGCTCCATCAGCCACAAAGCTATCATTGCACTAACCTGGGGGTGGTTGGGGATGATTCGGTCCTTGGAAATCCCTGGGATCAAGGCTGTTGTGAAGGTGGTTTAGGGTCACCCTTGCTTTCCCCCAATCTCAGCATGAGTGTGCCCCAGTTGAGCATCCAGTCCCTTGTTTTACATCCTGATGTTGTGCTGGTAAAGCAATGTCATGACACAGACGGCAGAAACCAGTCTCCTGGGGAAAGGTAAGCTGTGACGCTGGTAGGTCTAAAACGTTCTGCCTAGTGCTTTTGATGGTGACACAATAACAGCCCACTTTAGGAAAGTCGTTGTGCCTGATTCTCTTCGCCTCTTCTCCATGGTGTAACTCATTAAAGTTGGCAGAGTTACACCAATGTAAAATTGCTGTGAGATCAGAATCAGGCCCAGTGTATTCTGTTGGCATCTCTAACTCTATTGGCTTAATATGTGGCTTGTCTGGTACTGTCTCATCCACACGGAGGAGTGAGATTACAGACTAAATCCAGTGGAGGAAATACTTGAAGCCAACTCTAAAGGAGAGTGAATCCTGTGAAGAGTCACCCTTGATTTTTAAATTAAGGTTATTAAGGGATAGAGAGCAAAGTACTGGCCCAGCCCCTCTCGTGTGCTGTTGCTGATTATTCAGAGTAATTAGAGAGAAGCAGCTTCTAAAAAGGAGGTGACTGATCTAACTCATACAGAAAGTCTTTCTTATTGTGCTCCTCGCACAAGCTGCCTAGACTAGAGCCAAGTGAATAGTTCACAATTAATAAGTTGTTGGGCAAATGTAGTTCCTCTTCTGCCTAAAGGATACTCACAATCAAACTGTGAGTCCAGCTGACTTCTTCAGAATTTGGATTTAGTCAGTGAATTTCTCTATGGTTTGATTGTACATTGTTGAGTTGTGTAGCTCTTTCACAGCCGAGCAATGTAACAAGCTGGCATCAGTCTTACAACCTGTAAGGTGCTGGATCTGCTGGGAAAGTGCAAAGATCAGGCCACCCCCCTGTCTCAGGTATGGGGGAGCACACTTCGGGGGAAATGCACCTGGGGCAGTCGGGGTGTGCCATAGGAGATACTATGTCTGGGGTGGGAGGGTCTCAGAAGGGAGAACAGGGGTTTCGACTACTGCTATGGAAGCACACAGGTGAGCAGCTCAAGGATCAGACATCTCTGGAGAGTGGTTCTATGGTGAAGATTTCCTCACTGTATTCTCAGAGAAAGGAATAGGGAAGCCAGCTGCCAGGCAGCCTCTCTTGGAGCAGGCCTTGGAAGCATGGATCCCCTATGTAGATCTTAGTTTTGTGCAAATGAGACTCTTCTGGAGGAGCAAATTTTTAAATGGCTTTTAAAATTGCATTTTTATGGTGTATGTAGCTCTGTGAATGTGCGCTTCACAAACAGCTCAGAGCCAAAGCTCCTGCCCATAGGAGCTTATAGTCCAATCAGCATTCATTTTACTGAATAAAGCTCAACATCAACTAAAGACTGCCTGAGCTTTGCTCATTGCCAGTACAACACACCCAGCACAAAACAGAACCATGTCACAGACCAGGGAGCAATCACTTCCCTGCCATGGGACAAACTGTCCAAACCCTTGGTGTTCGGATCTTTAGAGAACTATTGTATAGATTGGAAGTAGAGCTGGATTACATTTTTCAGCCAAAAAATGTTTTGGTGGCAAATGCAGATTTAGTAACACCAAAACATTTTGTGAATTTGTGTCAGCTTTGCTGAATTGTTCATTTGGAAAAAATTAAATTAAATAATCAAATGTTTTGTTTCATTATTTTTCTAAATGAAAATTTTCAATTATTTGGTTTGAAATTAATTTTCCATTCAATGTTTCCTTTATTTTTTTTTTAAATCAACATTTTAAAATGGTCAAAACTGAAACACAACATTGTGTTTGACCCAAAACCATTTTTTTTACTTTTTTCAAGAACATTTTCATTTGCAGGCTGACCCAAAACAGATTTTATTTTTTGAAAGTGCCAGTGAACCGAAAAAACCATTTTGTGCCAACTCTAACTGGAATGCCTTTGTGAAGTAGGGGGTGTGTAGGTGTGATTATTCTATAAATTGAAGTATTAATACGTTTTATAAATTATACAGGAAGATGTAGCTTCTA